GGGTGACGAGAAGAACATTTCCACCAATTTTTTCTACTTTGAGTTCTGTATGGAATGCATGATGATTTTCTCAAAATTCATTGCCTCAAAATCTGTGGGGTTGACAAGAAAAAGATTCTCACCACTTCAATTTACTGTAGATTCTATATAAAATATATTATTTTCGTGAACGCACATCATCGGGATTTGATCATGATAGGGGTGAAAGAAATGCATGTTGATTTTTTCAAAATTCATTTTCTCGATATCTGTAGGTGTGACAAGAAAAATATTCACGTTACTTATTTACTCTGAATTTTATATGAAATGTATCATTTTCATGAACGCACATGATCGGGTTCTGATTATACAAAAGGTGAAAGATAAGCATGATCATTTTTTCAAAATTTATTTTTTCCAAAAATCTGTGGGGTGACGAGGAAAATATTCTCTCCACTTCAATCTACTCTAAATTCTATGAAAAATATATCATTTTCATGAACGCACATCATCGAATTCTGAGTATACAAGTGGTGAAAGAAATGCGTATTAATTTTTTCAAAATTCATTCTTTCGAGATCAGTGGGAGTGACAAGAAAAAAATGTTCACCACTTCAATCTACTCTAAATCCTGTATGGAATGTATCATTTTCATGAACGTTCATCATAGGCTCCTGATTATACAAGGGGTGAAAGAAATGCATGATGATTCTTTTCAAAATTAATTGTCTCGAAATCTCTGGGGGTGACAAGAATGAGATTCTCACCACTCCTCTCAGTACTCTTCAAAATGCATTATCAAAAAGATCGCACATCATCGACTTCTGATTATACAAGGTGTTAATGAAATGCATGTTGATTTCTTCAAAATTCATTTTCTCGAAACTTGTGAGGGTGACAAGAAAAAGATTTTCACCACGTAAATCTTCTTTGTTCACCATATGGAATGTATTACTTTCATGAACGCACATCATTGGGTTCCTATTATACAGGGGGGAAAGAAATGGATGTTTATTTTTTCAAAATTTATTTTCTTGAAATCTGATGTAGAGGTGACACGAAAAAGATGTTCACCATGTATCTATTGCAAATTTTATATTGAATGTATGATTTTCATGAACACACGTTATCGAGTTCTGAATTTCCAGCCACAGAATTTAGTCAGGGTGCTAATTAGTTATGCATCCCATCCACAGATTTTCATTTTCCTCTATGTTAGCATGTCTGGCTGGAAATCTGTAGGTAACTTCACGACAATATTTCCTTCAAATGCACAACTCAGTAGGATTTGATTGATTCGATTTGATTTATTCATGATAACATATGTGATACAATTTATATAGATCATAAGAATATAACATTACACCCCCACCAGAAGGACATAATCCACCTAAACAAGTGAATGCTTGTATCGTGGTGTTCTATGCTTCAGTGTGGGAATGAATATATTTTTTTATCGCTTGGAGCGGACGAAAGGGAATCCCTATAATGTTCAAAGAACATCATGCGTTCCTAGGGAGGATAGGGACAGGAGGTAGGTATTGGAGTTTTTTTTGAACTTTTGGAGATTATATAATGTTGGGAATACTTCCACAGGCAATGAATTCCAGAGCCTAGCCGTTCTATGGATGAAGGAGTCTTGATGAAGTGCTGTTCGACATCTTTCGAGGTTGACAACGAAAAGATGTGCTGACTGGGCTTGTCTAGTTCGTCTGATTGGTATTGCTAGTGAAGGGATGATAGCAGAGATTTCCGAAGAACATTTACCGTGGAAGTATCGATAGAAAAGTGAAAGGTCGCCGACCTTTCTACGGTGTTCAAATGATGTCAAAGAGTGAGTGAGTGTGGCGTCACCCACCAGGCGAATGGCTCTTGTCTGGATGGAATCTGAGAGCATCAGCGTATGTATTGGTGCTGAACCCCATATGTGGGAACGGTACCCTAGAACAGGCCGTATCTGCGCTTTGAAGATCATGAGAAGCTGTTGAGGTGTAAAGTAGCTTCTCGCACGGAACAAGAATCCGAGTTCTTGTGAAGCAGCTTTTGCGATGGATCTGACATGATTATCCCATGAAAGAGTGTTGCCGATGGAAATACCAAACATAGATATGGTGGGCTTGGTGGGGATGGTGGAGCCAGACATTACAATATCGGGCATACTGAGTTCCGCCTTTCTAGAGAAAATGCAGGCTTGAGTTTTGGTGGCGTTGAATTCAACTAGGTTGTTTGTTCCCCAGGCTGTGATTTCAGCAAGATCTATATTGACAGCATTGACCTGCCTGCGCCGTGAGTTCTTAGTTTCCTGGGAAGAAATGGGGATTCTGGAAGAGAACGCAGTATGGAGGATACTATCATCTGCAAAGCTGTGGATGGGGCAAGTTGTTACTCCCAACAGATCATTGATATGAAGCAGGAATAATGTTGGTGCCAAAATTGATCCTTGTGGAACGCCGGAATTGATGGCAATGGTATCAGACGATACACCGAAGCGATCTGCCTGAAAGAAAACTGGATAAGAGATGGCATAGCTGAGGTGGTAAGCCGTATGATGGTAGTTTGTGGAGGAGTCCTTCGCGCCAAACACGGTCGAATGCTTTCGATATGTCCAACGCGACAGCTAGAGATCCCCCGTGTTTTTCTATTGATGATTGCCATAAATGGGTGACGTAGGCAAGTAGATCTCCAGTAGATCTTCGGTGGCGAAAGCCGTATTGTCCATCATTGATGATTCCTGAGCTCTCTAGATATTTGATAAGCTCAATATTGATGGCTTTCTCCATCACTTTGGAGATGACTGATAACAGGGCAATGGGCCTGTAGTTGTTGGGCAGGTTCTTGTTCCCTTTTTTGGGGATTGGTTGGACTCTATACCCGACCTGTACGAGATGGTAAACAACTTGCAGAGAATCGGTGTTAATTCTGGTGCACATTTTTTGAGGATAATGGGTGGAATTCCATCAGGACCGTTAGCCTTATTCGTTTTGAGACCAAGCAAAATTCGTCTGATAGTGCGTTGACGGAATACGATTTCGGGCATTCGACTCTCAACGGGTGGAATGTCTGGTGGAAGTTTTCCTTGGGAATCTAAAGTAGAGTTTGCTGCGAAATCTCTGCAAAAATATAATTATAATTAATATTTTGAGACGAGTGTGGCTCACATTTTACCTACTAGGTTGTAATATGAAATCAATAGGATGGAATTTGAAATCGGAAATAGAAACGAAGGAATGAATAGGAAAAATGAATTGAGTTTCTCAGTTGAAAATACGAAGTATTGTCGGAGTCTCAGTGACATAAATTCTGATTTTCAATTTGTAACTCCTAATTCTCATGATTTTTTTAATTTCCAGGGGAAGCATATTGCACAGTTTAGGCCCATAATGAAAAATAAACCTTTGCGTACGACTCTTTCTGAAATTAGGAATCTTGATGGATAGATTCTTTACCGATCGTATCAATGTCTCGCCTTTTCCAAACTTATTCTTGTTATCAAACATCCACAAAAGACATTGATATGAATACACACCTCTGATATTCAGGAGATTTGTATCTTTATTAAAAAGTTGTTCTGTTGAAAAAAGCCTTGGTTTTTTGGGAATAATTTTCTCCGCCCTCTTTCTATCAGAGGGCATGCGCAGTTTTTGAGGTACACCCTTCTCGATGTATCCTCAAAGATTCTTCTTCTGGCTGATCACCTTGTTGTAAAGTGAATGTTATGAATTTGGTTTTTTTAGTATTTATTGCTGTATATCTTTCAATGCTTTTTCGGCTTTCGTATACACATTTACTCAAGAGTCTCCTGTTATGATGATAGCTGTGTCATCTGCATATGATATAAGTTGTCCCTTAAAATCATCAATTTCGCTGATACTGTTTATGTAAACTAGGACTAACACTGGACCCAAAACTGTTCCTTGTGGAACACCAACTGTAACTTTCCTCAACCCGCTGGGCCGCTGAGCTGATTGTCGATTTTTATTTTATGCATTCTATGTGATAGATAGTTTTGCAATAGGATTAGGCTCGGTCCTCTTATGCCATATGTGTCTAATGTATCTTAAAGCTTGGAATGTGATCAGGTCGAGCAAGGTCGAGAAATACTGTCAAACATTTTTCAGACTCATCCAGAGCTTTCACAGTTTTATCTATTAGTTCCAGCACAGCACGTTCAGTATTGGAGTTAGAGATAAATCCAAACTGCCTTTCAGTCATGACATGATTTTCATTGAAGAAATTCATTAACCGATTTTTTAGTGATATTTCAAATACTTTCGAGAAATTGTTAATGACCGAAATAGGCCTATAATTATCAATACATTCATGTTAACGAATGTTAGCGAATTTAGCTACACATTGTTGGGAAACGTATAATCATGTATTGTTCTTCACACCGTACAACAATCTATAACAAATGTTTGAATTGAAAAATTCTCGCATATGAGTTCGCTTCTGTACATCGCAGCGATGGAACATTCGTGTTATCGTAGTGTCGCCTTATCGCGACATTTCTGATATATCATGTCGCAGATTTGTTTTTTTTTGTACATTGCAACGAAAGAACATTCGTAATATCGCAGTGTTGTCTTATCGCGACATCTCATATCTGCAGATATGTCATGTCGCAGATGTGTCTGCTTCTGTATATGGCAGCGATGTAATATTCGTAATATATCGCGGCAATGTAACATTTGTAATATTGCAGTGTTGCCTCATCGCGACATCTCCGACATTTCATGTCGCAGATGTTTTTGCTTATGAATATCGCAGATATCGCAATGTTACCCTAAACGCGACATCTCAGAGATGTCCCGTCATAGATGTGTTTGCTGAGATATCAGCAGGAAATTGGTTGTTTTCTGTTGAATATACCGAGAAAGAATTCCTATTTTCATCATATAGAGAATAATGCGAATTCTCAATGCATGTCTTAATATGTACCTATCAATATCTGAGAATATTCCTCTTCAATGAGACATTTTTCTGGCAATCGACAAATTTTCAAATGAAAAATCCTCCATTGTATTCGATATAACATTAATTTCTACAAAATGAGCCTAATTGTTTCAATATAAAACATTCATTCATGCGTTCTGTCTAGATCAGTCACGGATCCAATCATAGATATAGTATTTTATTATACACCGATACTGCGCGTGTCCAGAATTATTATTTCAATTCATCACAGGCCAGTAACAATACATATTCTGCTAAACTTCCTGGACACCTAAGATATTTTGAATAATACGCAGTGCGATCGAAGAATATGTTGAAATAACCTGCATATACATGTCAGTTCAATTGTTCATTTCGGAAAATATGCACGCTGACTGCATTATTGAAGTCTAATTAATCGTTCTGTTTTCGTTTCTAAATTTCTATGGTTCCAACTCCACTCTCCTGAAACATCCCTCCGGTAAATTATCGATGATATCCTCGATATTATCAACCTCTTCTTGCAAAACGGCAATTTGCATTTTGTATCGCCCAATGAGTTCTTCTCGTAACTTGTGCTCAGTCTGAAGATCCAGTAGTCTTTCTTCCAGCTTCGTTTCTTTCATTCGTTCTTCAGCTATTCGGATTTCTTCCTCTAGTCTATCCACATCAGATTCTTCGATGGTGGGAGAGTGCTGCAGTTCGAACATGATTCCTTCAACGTCACGGAGAAGATCAGATACCTTTCTCGTCGCACTGTCAGTGTCTTTGCCTGCTCTGCCCACCTAACAATTAATAAATGAAATAGTCATATACAGAGTGACCCATTTGAAAGCGGGCCACCCCTGTATCTCACGTAATCGTTGGGTAAGGATCATGAAATTTGCTGGAGCCAGAGATATACCAAAAATGCACTCTATGACCAAGTGGGGTCATCTTCAGTGATATACACTGCTCGCCAACAGCCATGGAACCACTCCAATTTCCGGAAAATGATATTAGGAGTCAAAATAGGTTGAAAATCACTTCGGATTCGGAATCAGGACGCCCAATTCACTAACTCTTCATATTTTTCCTTGAAAATTTTCAGTTCTGAAAAATTAAATTTTGCCGCATTTTTCACGAAAGCACCCCCGTATCTCACGTAATTGACTTTATCTTTGGACTTTCCGTTCCTCCTGCAAATTTTAGAACCCTACCTCAATAATTACGTGAGATACGGGGGTGCTTCCATGAAAAGTGCGACAAAATTTAATGTTTCAGAACTGAAAATTTTCAAGGAAAAATATGAATAGTTAGTGAATTGGGCGTCCTGATTCCGAATCCGAAGTGATTTTCAACCTATTTTGACTCCTAATATCATTTTCAGGGAATTGGGGTGGTTCCATGGCTGTTGGCGAGCAGTGTATATCACTGAAGATGACCCCACTTGGTTATAGAGTGCATTTTTGGTATATATCTCGCTCCAGCAAATTTCATGATCCTCACCCAACGATTACGTGAGATACAGGGGTGGCCCGCTTTCAAATGGGTCACTCTGTAGGTACAAAATATAACCAAAATACCACAATAATATTCAGATGTATTTTGGCAACTCAGTTGCCATCCTCAATTGTCCTTTTGAAATGTACAAGATAATTTTTTGAAGCGTATAAGCACGAATTATGATGATTCTTATGGAACACCCTGTATTTTTCTACATGTAACTACCCAAGTAGCACACAGTCATAAAATTAACATAATAACTCCTTTTACCGTTCCAAATACCCCATATTTGCAATGGTTCACAACCAAAAAGCCAATGTGCGATTAATGACATTAAAAGGTCATTATGATGCCTCAGCATAGATATTATAAGAGTTCAATTAGTAATTCTCGAGATAATGTCGTACTGTTGTTGTTTGTATGTGAATAAATTGTATGTGTCGTTGAGTTTGTGACGTTTTAATGACAAGGAATGTATGTGGTTATGAGCTATAGATATTATTTAGAACGTTTCAAAGACTACGTACTGTCCTCATGTAATGCAGTTTTATCAAAAAGTTGAACTTGGTCGTAATGACCACAATATATGTATCTGCCATGTGACCATTTTTGTTGATTATGTATTCGATTTCACAGAAATAAATATGCCAAAGCCAGACAAGCGAACAAGCACCTTTCAAATCAACCAACTCCAGTGAGGATGAGGAAATTATAAACTTGAAGGAAAATGTACAAGGCAAAAGTTTTCAAATTATACATACTGGCCATCAAAGACCAATCACTAAAGGTCTACACCTTTTCCAGATGTATTTCAGAAAGCGTCAATTGTAATTCAGATTTCTCAAATGAAATTCAGAAAACGTCAGCAGTTGTAATTCAGATTAGTCAATTGAAATTCAGAAAATATCAATTGTAATTCAGATTAGTCAACTGAAATTTAGAAAATATCAGTTGTTATTCAGATTTTTCAATTGAAATTTAGAATGCGTCAATTGAAATTCAGATATCGTCATTTGTAATTCAGAATGCGTCAATTGTAATTCAGACTACATTATTTGTAATTCAGATAAGTTACTTGAAATTCAGAAAAAATCAATTGAAATTCAGATTAGTCAAGTGAAATTCAGAAAACTTCAATTGTAATTCAGATTTGTCAAATGAAATTCAGAAAGCATCAATAGAAATTCAGATATCGTCAATTGGAATTCAGAAAGATCCTCTCCTTCTTTCCATAGTTACTATACCCCAGCTGCCGAAATTGCTCCAATGAGATGTACATTGGGTCCACTTGCAGCCGGTATCTGTTGTACAGTTCTAGCTATCCAGTCTCAGAACGTCCCTTTGTTCGACGGCAAAATAAATTAAAATTTGTTTCGCCAATCCAAATAATGTGTTTGCCGTCACCGATGAATTGGTTGAGAGCTTGAACGTACACGTCACGTTTTCTTTTATCCTCAGGACTGATCATTGTGATTGGCTCATTGTGTGTTTGTTTAACTGAAAACAATCTACCTTCCAGATAATTTCCGATGGTAGACAACGACAACGCCACAACTACTTGGAAATGTTCTCTAATTTTTTCTTTTACTTTTCTCAATGTTAAGCCGCAGTCTTCTTCAATCCATGAAATTACTACATATATCTATTTGATCTTCAGTTAGTATCTTAGGTTTTATGCCTCCTCTGGGGAACATTTTGCTTCGTCCTGAACGAACCCAATGGAAAGCGGTCTTATATTTGATAATGATGCTGATAATGCTACCCAGTCATCCCCCCTTTTCTGCGCATTCCACAATCCTTTCACGATCTTGATGATTATGTTACTTATACCTGATGAAAGAACCTGTGAATAATTCGTTTCAATGAAATATATCTGCATAGTGGGCAAGTAACATCTGGCACATTCTGTAGTGGTAAAGCACACCTCGTATGCACAAAATGATTACATGGCTGCAATCTTGTAACTGCATTTCGAGTCATTATAATACGACAAATCATACAGTTGGCTATGAAGTTCATTCTATGAGATGATGTATGATTATTTGAAGTTAGAATATCCGTTTGCAATACAATAGGATATACACAGTAGGTAGGTACTTTTGATAATGATGGATTGTAGGTAGGTATGCATGTAGAGGTAACACTGTTCCATATTTCTGAATTACAAATGAAGTTTTCTGAATTACAATTGATATTTTCTGAATTTCAATTGACTAATCTGAATTACAATTGACATTCTCTAGAATTCAATTGACTAATCTGAATTACAAATGATGCTTTCTGAATTTCGATCAACTATTCTGAATTACAAATGACATAGTCTGAATTACAACTGACCCATTCTGAATCACAAATGATACATTCTGAATTATAAATGACGCTTTCTGAATTCCAATTGGCGCTTTCTGAATTCTAACTGATGCTTTCTGAATTTCAGTTGATTAATATGAATTACAAATGACGCATTCGGAATATCAATTGACAATTCTGAATTACATTTGATATTTTCTGAATTTCAATTAACTAATCTGAATTACAAATGATATTGTCTGAATTGCATTTGACGCTTTCGGAATTACTATTGAAAAAGGTGTAGATATAGCCATAGAGAGTGATTCTGAAGAAGATATAGAGGTGATGGCAAAGCTTGTGTAGAATACTTGGAAATATATTTTAACTTCTAAGAAGAATTGGAAAATTGGGAATCAGTTCACTAGAAGATTTTTACAGAGATGGAATAAGCCATCATACTGTGAGAAAATTTTTAGTCAGTTTCGAGATAACATCAGTTTAGAACAAAAATATAGCAACATAACCTCTATTTGCCATCACACGAAAATGACAGTTGATATAATGTCGTTGTAGGATTTTGTATTCCATGATAGTACATATAGCGAAGTAATTACAACTCTTTGATACACAGAGGATGGGTATCCATGTTCTTTGTTAGGATAAGTATCGAAGTTTAGAATCCATATTGCAATAGAAATATTGTAAACGAAAAATACACTACTATGAATGGGCGTTATATCTTCATGAAATAAAATTGAGATGAACAAATGAAGTAGATTATACGTATGATGGTCATTATATTGACGATTCAGTGAAGAATGTTTATGATGTATTTTTCCAGAAATGAAAAATTACCCTTATTCCAGCATTATTTTCCTATAGGCCCATAACTTTCCAGTGAGTAGAATTGAATTCTGTTTGTCAAAATGCGATTGTTCAGTCACTCTATGGTCCCTCATATTGTTAACAATTTTCAGTCGAAAACTCGGTCGAAAATAATATTCATTGTTATCTCAATATAGTGACTATCATACTATGGCAGTCATTTGTAGAATGTATGTTATGGCAAGGAAACTGAATTATATTTATAAAAAATATCTTACAACTTTTGATGTGATAAACGTATTGTAATACATTAGATATTCAGCTCATGACCTTCATGCATAATGATATGATGAAAACAAATGACTACACAACAACGTACTAATAATACTGTGACTGCCTTATGTAATTCTCTATGAGCAAGTCATTATACGTCTTCGTTATAACGTGTCGTCGATGTGACTTCGCAAAAGTGCGCCTTACATAACGACGTTAGAGCATAGTTAGTACGAGACGTGAGTCATAGACTTTTGAACATGGTCTTGTAGATGTCTGTGCGACACCCATTTATATAGTGTGTCCCACTTACCATGCTCACCATGGGTATCTTTTTAACGGTGAGAGATACGAGGTCGGTTAAATGACACCAAATGTGGAGTTTGTCAAGGCCAACTATAATGTGAAAAAATATTTTGATAAAATCTATTCGTTTTTGTTTTATACGCAAAAAACATATTTTGATCATTTTCATGTCTCCTCCGTAACTTCTTCATTTATGAAAATATTCAAATAGGAATATCTCATTCTCATGGCAGTTTTTCAAGGTGATTTCGAAAAAAATATTGAATTTATACCAACTCTTCTAGAATTTGAGATATCAGCACCAACTTTAGTTTTTCAAATGTAGGTCATAGCTCACTATGACTTAGTTACAAATAACTTTTTTTTCTCTTACAGATGATATGGCGCAGTTATAGTTTTGTGTTGATAACAACGGAGTTATCGTCATTTATACAAAAACAAAAATTATTTGGAAGCCGCCATCTTGAATTTATAAATTTTAACAAAAAAATCATGATCTCCGACCTCATAAACCCATACTTACCAATTTTGAATGGAATCGGACCAAATCTTGTCCGCCATCTTGGGGTAGCCATTTTTTCAAATTTCAACAAAAATTTCATAA